ATTGCATTCGCAAGTGCGTAAAATTAGGTACTCGATATTTCAAGTCAAATTTGACGTTGAACACAAGCTCGTAACAACCCACTCTATTGTTAGAGTCGAAAACGAGCAAATGTTAGTAAACATAAACTCATTCGAGCTCGATTAAAGTTCGTTCATTTGTTCATCGAGTCAAACTCAAACAAAAAATTAGATTCATATATTAAGCGAATGAAGCACGTTCAAAGACATTCAATATCAATTACGAACTTTAATTTAATATATAATTTATTATTTATAAATTTATGTGTATATATATATAATATTTTTAATAAATAAGTAACAAAGAGGAGCAATGTTCAAACATTATCATTATTGCTCAAACTCGCGAACAATATCAATCAAAATCAACTCATTCGGTTCGATTACAGCTTTACACCAAGACTCTTATTTTTGTTACACCGACAAAAATATATTTAAAAAACTCATATCCTCTTTCTTGATTATACCATCCAATGAAATTTCAAAGTTGAAAATGTACAAATGATTCGTTGTTGTCCTGATGCAATGAAGGTAATTTGTGTACATTAATTGGTAAACCAACCGTTCACGAACAAAAACTCGTTCGAAAAAGAAGAATTGAGCATCCATCCACACTTTCAAATAAACTAAACTTTCTATTTCTAGCAACTATTGAGATTCTTGAAGAAGTCTAACCTTAGATTACAAAGTACCACTAAAATAATCCATACAAGGTTTTACACTACATGTTTACAACAACAACATGGTGAATGAGAGATTCTTACAAATCATCGGAACACGAAAAAACCTTCTTCGGGTTTTCGTTATCCGTGCAATGGTGGTGGGAGAACAATTTTTTATCACCACAAAAATAAAACATTCCAACAAAAAATACGACCCTATCAATCGAAAAGCCCCTCATCTTGCCATATATCGACCAAAAAATCGACCATTTCCTGCAAAACCCCATTAAGACGATGATGCAAGCATATTTTTTACCGTGAAATACATTTATGTTGTCTCGAGCCAGATAACTTACAGATAAAGGAATAGGCTCAGAGAAAGGCTCGTGAGTCGAGAGCAGGTCTTCATATGTGGTAGACCAGCTACAAAGAGCAAATAACAAATTCATCAATTTAGAAACTTATAACCCTATGTGAAAACTTAAAATTTGCCACCAACAAATTTTCTTAAGATATCGTTTATAATTAAACCAAGGTTAAAATGGTGAAAAAGAAGTTCTTTCCAAATTACAAACACCTCCTCGAAAAATCTGTCTTCATTTAGAAAATCCAACTTGACATTCAAAAACTTCAACTCGGACAACAAGCTACAAACTTGCAATTCGTGGGAAAAAGGGAGTGAAGGAAAAAAAGTTCAATCAAAAGCTAATCAATGCTGCTTCTGTTTGACAACTGTTAAGCATTCCATTAAAATCCATCAAACAGGAGCAAATGTTTCGGTATTAACAAGATCAAAGCAAAACAAAATTGCTTTCTCATTCAATATTCAGAAAATTAAAAAGAACTGTTGAATGTGAGAGAAAGGGAGAGAGGGGGAGGGAGAGAGAGGGGTGGGGAGGAGAGAGAGAGAGAGAGAGAGAGAGAGAGAGAGAGTTCTTCACTTTTCAATTATTTATTTAAACTAATTAAAGGTCGTTCTTCACTTTTGATGTTATATGCAATCTCCAAAAATTTGAAAAGTTCTACTGCTAAGGCCGGTACATAAGAACATGTATCAAACTTTCATGGTTAAAACACAAACTATAAGCTGGTCAAAGACAAAAAATTTCATGATTTACAATTTACAGTGAAAAAACAAGTTTACTTAAGAGTACCTTATAATCGGATCCTTTGATGTTCTTCCTGACCTCTGAGATACATTCCCAGTCCATTTTTTTCTGCTTTCATTCCACGCAATTGCAGCTACAAAGCATATATGCACATATTCACGCACATTTTCTGATTTTTCTATTCATTTAACAGTTTATGTACCCTGGAAAGACGAATCAGAATAAACCTTTTTTTTTCTATTTATTTGTGCACATTCAACCATAAATGCACCACAGAATGATTTTAATTAATATAAAATTAGGAAGAACAACAAGAATAATTCATTGCCACTCCCAACAAAACTATATAAACAACTAAATGGATCTTGTTAAGAATAATTCATTGCCACTCCCCACAAAACTATATAAACAACTAAATGGATCTCGTTTTCTTTAAAGTTTAATCGATGCATGAACGTTTTTTCTAACTCCCAAAGAAAACTTTAGATGCCTTCATATGGGCATTATTTGAAAAGTAGAAGGCAAGACTTACCATGATTAACAAATACAGGAATGTTAGAGTTATTATCTGCAGGCTTTTTCTGTACATCCGAAGGTCTCGGATTTTCCAAAGGTCTCTTTTCATGGTTATTTGGAGTTTTACCAGTGCCTTCCATCATTTCGTGAAAGAAAAACCATTCCCCTTTCATTAACCGTCTTGAATGTAAACCTCCAAGAGGCCCTTCTGAAGTTTACGTGAAGAAGCAAGCTCAACGAGTTTAAGCTCAGGTTTTGTACAAATCACGGTCTGCACAAATATACTAAAATCAGACATTTTCATCAAATTAGCCAAGACATCAAGTATATAAACCAAAACAGAAAAAATGTTCAGCTGAGTAAATAAAGACTACACAGTCACAGAAAAAGCGATTTATATGCTCATACGGCACAAGTGCAGGAAAGTTTCTCCCAAGAGAGCTTTATGTGCTCAACAATATATTCGAAATCATTCAAATAATATTATTCATTATTAAATGATCACAATAAAATTAAATTGCAAACAAATTCAAAACAAGATAATTCATGCAATACATAGTAGTGATTCCATAAGACTTACTGTTACGCTAATGATACGCAACAGTAAATAAATCGGGGCCACTTGATTGTTGCTTGATGCTCCTCAGGCAGCAGCACCTGGGAGCAAACAACATAAAACAGCTGAGTTGATGAATATATAGACAGATTCAGGAACTATTCAATGCTAAATTGTGATTTAAAAAAAAAAATGGAACTCGGGTAAAAAGTAAATTTTAAGAATACAATTTGACCGTTGCACCAGATTGATATCAAAGGTTAATTATTTTTACTCCCAATATAAGCCGGCCAAGGACAAATATAAACTATATATAATAATATAAATTCTTTAAAGTATCATATTTCAGCACAGATTTAAATTGAAATCGTTCTATCTTCGCAAAAGAAAACAATAAAGCTAGTTTGAATAAACTGGAAATTGATAATGAATCTTCAAAAAAACTATCTTTCTCAAAAGGGACTAGTCTTATTGGAAAATTCCCCAGCAAACGTGGCATCAAATGATTCACGATGATGCAGAACTAATGAACTGGCCTTCTTTCCCAAGCATCAATTGACATAAAAGTACCATAATTTTAACAATCTCCACGAATTATTCTACTGCGGATCAAAGGAACTAAACCAGTCACTGCCAAAGTTACAATCACATTGAGACGAGCCATAATGCATTGGTAAAGTTCGGATACAACCCAAACAAGTAAGCAGAAATCAGAAACAGGTGAACTATCCCACATTGACAAATTACAGGTCATTGTATTTTCAAGCATTAGTTTTGAAACAAACATTTGACAACCATTCATCAAGAATAGTATCATCTCTTTATCCCCCTTACAAGGCAAAAGTTTCATCATGGGTTCATCTTGCAGAGATGCTATAACCATTCAAGATTCCAATTGATTTATTTATGCTTCTTCTTATTCAACTGATGTTCAAACATATCCCTGAACTGAGAGGATCAGTTCTCACTTCATCAATATTCAATCGGCTTATCCAACTGACACATTACATTTACCAACTCAATTGATGACATATTAATATTAATCATTATATCCATAAATCCAACAGAACATACAGATATCCCAAAAATCTCCAAAGCATATATTTTTCTTTCAAGGAATAGTAAGGTGCACATTTTATGCGGTACAACTCAGAACATACTAAATTCCCCTAAAGTCCTAACCCAACAACGCATTATCCTGATAAGCAACAGGTTTAACTGTGATTCTCACAATCTTGAAATAATAAGACATAAAAACCGCTCCTTTTAACTAAAAAGATAAAATTTATTCAAACATTTACATAACAACACATGATTAACAGAACCCAGGATTCACCATCCCTCCTATGCCACATGACATACATTGAGATCTTCCATAATAAATCGAAACACTTTATCCCAAAAGGGGGAAAGATCAAATTTTTCCACTTTCTTAACAGAAACATAATCCAGAAAAAATATCACAAAAATGTAAGACAAGGGCTTTTCTGTTCACAACAAATAAAAAGACTAATAATAAACAAAACCCAACAAGAACAGGCGAAG